AAAGTATCAGATTCTAGACCGGATTATGGCTATTACTACGGATAATGCGTCAAATAACCAGACGATGATTACAAGCATCCAAGCTAGTCATCCTGGTCTACCTTTGATCCGCATTCCTTGCCTTGCGCATGTGATTCAGCTTAGTCTGAAACAGCTTCTTGGTCAGATGAAGGCAAACCCCCAGAATGACACAGTGGAAATGGTTTGGACAGAAGAGCATAGTCGGGCTGCTACTCGGGCTCAGCAGAGGTCTAGAAAGCTAGATATTGCGAATACCCTTCGTAAGGCTCGCAGTCTTGCTATCTATATTAATGCAAGCCCACAGAGACGGGATAACTTCCTAAAGCTTCAGACTAATCAGCCTACATTAGTCCCAATCCAGGACGTCCGTACGCGTTGGAATTCGACATATCTAATGCTTTACCGGGCTAAAAGGCTTCAATCTGATTTAAATCAGTACTGTATCACCTACCGGGTTGAACAGTTAATGATTAATTCAGAGGAATGGCGTCAGATTGATTATCTTCTTTGTTTAACCAAGCCTTTCTTCCAATTTACCACTGCCCTATCTAAGACCAAGGATATTACTATCCACAGTGTTTTTAGTATCTATAATAAGCTTTTTGACCACCTTGAAGCTTCGATTCGGCAGTTGAGGCGGAAAAAGGTTAGTCTCCTATATTCTCTCCCTTTTCCGCTAATTATAACTCTGATTTTTCGCACTTCAACCTATATAACAAGGGTTAAAGTGCGAAAAATCAGAGTCACAATTAGCGGAAAAGGGATTTATTTAAGTCTCACTTACTTACTTTTCCTTCACTTCTAGGCTGGGTGGAAACGGCAGATGCTTGAAGCTCTTGAATCAGCTGAAAATAAGCTTCGAGAGTACTATGCAAAAACAGATAATCTAGAACTTAGTGATATCTATGCGCATGGCACAATCCTCGCCCCTCAGCATAAGTTGCAGTTCTTTTCTGGCCCCGACTGGATAGATAAAGACTATGCTTCTTTATATCGAGCGAGCTTTCAAGAGCGAATGAAAGTATATCAAACAGAGAGTGATTCAATCCCAAAACCTCAGGCTTCTATCCAAGCTTCTGAGCTTGATCAATTGCTTGCTTCTGAGCCTAAATCCACCAAGGATCAGGATGAATTAACCCAATATCTCCAAGGAGGTAAGCTTACTTTTTCCTCTCACTTTCCTCTCACTTTCCTCTCACTTTCCTCTCACTTTTCTCTCACTTCTAGTCTTACCTCTCATTTTACCTCTCGTCTAATTTCTTTGGTTTTACTTAGGTTTGGTCCCAATTAGCCCTCGTCTATTCTGGAAAGATCATACGCATCAGTTCCCTACACTAGCACATATAGCACAGGATATTTTCTCTATCCCTGCTACTGGTGCTGGTGTAGAAAGGTTATTTAATTCAGCCCGGGATATCTGTCATTATCGGAGGGGTCGTCTGAATTCTTCAACTATCCAAGACCTAATGATGTTTATGTGTACGACTAGGTTCGAGATGGAAGATCAGCAGCTAGCTTTTATCCGATCTCTATCTATCCACGAGGACGGTGAAACAGATGAACTTCTCAGCAAATAGAAGGTTTTGAGCTAATTAGTGATACTGAGGCGGATAGGGTGGATGAGCTGGATGAGCTAGATGAGCTAGATAGGATAGATGTTTCTAGGCTATCTTCTGTTCGGGCTGGTAAGAGAAGAAAGAGTGTTTTATCTGATGAGAGTGATGATGATTTGGTCTCTTTGCCTATAATTCCAGAAAGCCAGATTCGGGCCTCTGGTCGGGTGAAAAGACGTCCTCGGGGGCCTGAGGGCTTTGAAATTCTATAGAATAATATAGGTGCTATTCTCTCATTCAAACCTCACTTTGTTTTTCTTATTTTATTACCTTTCGACTGTAATTTTACCACCTAAATACCAAAGATTCCTACATAATATGCATTAATTATACCTCCTTGTATTATGGGTACTCATGGGAGTATGGGAGTCCCATGGGTGGGTAGGGAAAAGGCCGTCCCACCCATGGGACTAAGGGTCGGTCCCATATCCCACCCATGGGCGGGACGGGACTGTCCCAAATGGGAATACCCATGGGAGTGTCAATGTCTACTACTGCGGCGTAGTAGCTTACCCCAGGAAGATGGATGAAAATAAAGATGAAGGGTCTCTTTGGTCTGCCTTTATGAGAGAAAGGTAGTAAGAGAATAATTGAGATGAAAGCTCTTGTTCAATTCAGTCTGGGTTTTGAGCCATATTTATAGACAGAAAATATTCAGTTTCACATGAAATAAATGGCCTGATTGCTTAAGGTTATAGACGTCATGAATTGAGGGGTAGACCTTATGACCTTGTCTTATGACTAGGTCTCATGACCTAGTCTGATGTAAAGGGAAAGTGTAGTAAAGGCCGAAGTGAGAGCAAAGTGAGAGATAAATAAGAGATAATTGGAAGATCAGATGAAGGCGGTGAGAGATGGCAGAACGGGAACATTAACGGGAACTTTCCATATTGAATTGGAAGCTCTGGAAATCTGCATGTATGAATGCATACACCTAAAATCCTGACAATAACTAATGTCTACTATATCTCAAACCTCTAACCTATACTCGTCCTCGGTGATCGAAGGGGTTAGAATAGATAAGTTATAATACCTTATCCTAGACGATACTCTATTTATAAGCCTATTCCTATTAAGCTAGCTTACCATCGATACGATACCTAATACTCCACGAAGAGCACCTTTAGCGCCCGAGAGCCTTAGACGAATCAAACCCGACTAAGTAAACTAATTCCTATTATACGAAGATAAAATGAGTAAGGAGTTTGTGACTTAGTGGCTCTAAATAGACTACGGAAGGAAGAAACGGATCAATTAGGATAGAAAGCGTCAAGCAAGTTACTAGGATAGCTTCGAGCAAGTGGCTTATACGAAAGATAGAAAGCCTAGCGTGATACATACAAGATGCTAGAAGGTTCTTGACTATCTAGCTACTAGAAATACTAGCACCTCATCGATGTATAAATATCTTAAAGGGCCACAATGTTAGAAAGGAATATATAAGCTAAGCATCCATAAGCTACTCGTATAAGCTATACGTATAATCTCTTAATACTTGGCTTAACACTAATCGATGGTGTGAGGATTTTAGGTGTCTGCATTTATAACTGCAGATTTCTAGAGCTTCCAATTCAACATAGAAGTTCCCGCTGAAATTCCCGTTCTGCCATTTCTCACCGCCTTTATCTGATCTTGCAGTTATCTCTCATTTATCTCTCACTTTGCTCTCACTTCAGCCTTTACTATGCTTTCTCTTTCCATTTGCCTACCGGACCGAGGTTATTAGGCCTATCTTGTCTATAGCCGCGGGTAACAACACGTTTACCTACCTCGGGTAACAGCACGTTTACCTACCTCGGGCAATAGCACGTTTACGGCAAGATTACCTCGGGCGAATATTACCTTAGGTAATTAGCCAGATGAACTGAATATTTGTCTATAAATATAGCCTAGAAACCAGACTAAATAAAACAAGAGCTTTCATCTCAATTATTCTCTTACTACCTTTCTCTCATAAAGGCAGACTAAAGAGACCCTTTATCTTTATCTTCATCCATCTTCCTGGGGTAAGCTACTACGCCGCAGTAGTAGCCGACCTCTACGGGAGGTAGTATTTCTCTCTACAAATATTTGTCCTAAGGACTGCCCTGCCGCATAGGGACCCTTAGGCATTTATTTATCTCTCTTATTTTCATATACTACCAATCCCGACATTAGGTGACGACATACGAGCTATCTATATACAATCTAATTTCTTTAAATTTCGTATATATTAGTGAACGATTAGGAAAGAATCGAAATGGATACCAGAACAGCTATAAATAACAGTATTTTACTGAGCTGAATCATCAATTTTGTGCGTCCTAAATAGGTAAAGCGTAGCTTATGCGGGTATGTTGGACCCGTCGCGGGTGCCGAAGGGAACCTGGACGGGTCCGGGTCCGGGTCGGTTCACGGTTCTTGATCTTGGACCCGCGGGTCGGGTGAGTGCCAGGTCTACCTAGACCTCGGCAAGGACCGGGTCCGGTCCTAAAAGTTAGGACCGGGACCGGACCATGCGGTCTTTGGTCTTTTTTCAAAGTAGTCAGGACCGCACCACGGTCCCCCGCGGTCCTTTGCGGTCCCCCGTGCGGTCCCCCGCAAATTCATAATTATGCCAAGACCTTCCTTTTCTGGCCGTATAAACCGATTATTCAGCTGCGTTTTTTACTGTTATTAAACACTGTTTTGGTATATACGCGAATACTAATAATAAATCAGGTCTACCAATTAACAAAATAGGTGAAATCACCTCGTATTTATTTTCTTGAAGCTTCGTATTAAGTTAATTACTAATGAAGTTTGAATTTCGGATCGTTGTGGTAAGTATTTTAGAATATACTTGTGAGAATGCGAAGATATATATTTTATGGTAGGAGGACACATACGTTTACAAGTGTCGTGTCTACTACTATCCCCACTATATTTCTGACGGCCGTCAGAATTAAGGCTATCTACGGCATAGAAACTGGTGATATCCCTACTAGTTTTTCTGACGGCCGTTAGAAGCTACGGCCTAGAAACTGTTGATACTCCTACTAGATTTCTGACGGCTGTCAGAAAAGAAACTAGTCAGTGCGGATTGGGTTGCTTGTGGGTTCTAATAAGTTCTGACGGTCTTTGCGGTCCTTATGCGGTCCTTATGCGGTCTTTGCGGTCTCCTGGCGGTCCTTGCGGTCTTAGACCGCAGGGATCATAGCGGGGTAGGTTTTATCAGCCAATCACGGTCTATAATTTAGTTCGTTCTATCTCAAATTATTTACCTATCACTTTCTTCAGTATTGGTACCCCCTATTATTTCTTTGTCTAGATAAAAAGAGAATTGTATGTCTTTCCTATAACTCTCAAACCCTACTACCTACCTTTTCTTTCATATTATTTATCAATATGTCACAGAGCCACGCATCCCAATTCTCCGATAACTATCCCTCATCCATCTTTGAAGATAACCCTGTGGATGCACTCTCCTTCCTTACATCTGATGGGCCGTTTAACCTAGACGGACACGAAACACCAACCTCTACTCCAAGTGTGACTTTCACACGGCCAGTAGTACCTATCCTGATTCCAGAAACCCTTGAGCGTGTTGGGCCATGTGGCGGGAAGAAGTATATCCTTTGGACAGAGATGTTTAACGAAGATTTTGTCGCCTGGTGGTTAAAAACTGAGTACGGAAGTGCAACAAAACGAAATATCTTTGAGGGTAAACGACAGGCAGGCTCTTGGGAGCACTTCCACCAGGTTGCTACGATCTCTGATGGATCCCCTAAGGTGATGTGTAAGCAGTGTGATCATATCCTTGCTCATCCTGCCGACCGGCACCGGGGAACGTCTACTATGAATAGGCATTTCTTACAGGCCGCTACCTGTCAAAAGCGAAAGACTAAAACACATGATATCAGAAAGATGATCTCGAATGGGGTATGAATATTATCTATATAGCTCATTTTATACTAACTAAGATGATTATTTCTAGGCAAACCTTCCGTCTCGCAAAAAGGTCTTTTCACCAGGAGCTTGGATGGATAGGTTAACTACCTTTATTGTTGCTTTACGCCTACCATTTCAGCTCGTTGAGCACCCTGAATTTCGCGCCCTTATCGAAATAGCTTCGTCTGCCCCAACTATCCCTGAAATTCCTGGTGCTAGGACTATCCGTCGGCATCTTCAGGAGACAGTCAGGGAACGTCAGGATTCTCTACTGCAAACATTCCCAGAGGGCGCCAAGCTTTCTATAGCATTAGATTGCTGGACCTCCCCTTTTCGCCAGGCTTTTATGGCAGTCACAGGCTACTTTATTGACCTTGAGTGGAACTACCGTGAGATCTTACTCGGCTTTGAACCTCTACGTGGCTCCCATACAGGCGCTTATCTAAGTAGTGTACTACTTGAGTTACTTGAGAAGCACCAAATTACCAACCGCGTGCTTACGATCACTACTGATAATGCATCGAATAACGATACATTACTGACTACTCTCGAAGAGGCAGTTTCGTCTCTTGAGCTGCCTAGTCATATACCGATTATTCGTATACCATGTATTGCACATGTTATACAGCTCAGTCTCAAGGAGCTCCTTGGTCAGATGGATGCGAACCCATTGAATGATAGGGAAGAGATGGAATGGGCCGATCAGAGATATAGCGCCCGGCAAGAGAACAGACAGATTGTGCAAACCCTGAATAAAGTATATTACCTCCCTCTTTCCACTATTATCTTTCTATCTAATACTAACTATTCATTCTCCTCTAGGTTCGGAAGATTGCAGTCTATATCAATAAAAGCCCCCAGCGCCGCGAGAGCTTTATCGGACTGCAGACAAAAGAACCGAAACTTATGCCAATCCAAGATGTCCGAACACGCTGGAATTCCACATTTCTTATGCTTCGGCGCGCACGTCGGCTACAGACTACATTTGATGGATTTTGTGCACAGTTCAATCTGACGGATATGAAGATGGATAAAGATGAATGGCGACAGGTTGACTATCTACTGTCAATTACCTATCCCTTCTTTAAATTCACTTCATCTTTATCAGCTACAACTGATGTGACTATCCATAATGTGTTTGGGGATCTACAATGCCTTATTTACCCACGTTGACAAGGCAAAGGCGCAGCTAGCACGAAAGAAAGTCGGGTGGAAGAAGGTAATGAAGCTGGCGCTAGAGCATGGGCGCGATAAGCTTACGGAATATTACGGCAGGACTGATGATATTCCAAATGATCTCTATGCAATTGGAACTATCTTAGGTCCCCGCAATAAGCTTGAATTCTTCTTAACACCAGAATGGGAGACACACTGGGCACCGCGGTATAAGCAGTCCCTTGAGACTTATGTCCAGCCTTACCAGCAGCGTCATATAGAGGCACAGTCAATATCAACTATCCAGTCAATGAGCAACGATATTTCTGACATTGATATCCTTCTGAGACCTACTAAATCTCTCCAGTCAAGACCGACGACCACTTCAGATGAACTCACAAGGTATCTTGGAAGTAGTAAGTTTAATATCTCTCCCTCCTATATGATTACTTTTATTAATCTAATACTTTTCTAGGTACTGTCCAATCAACACCACTAGTATTCTGGAAGGCTCATGAGGCAGAGTATCCTATCCTCGCAAGCCTTGCCCGAGATATCCTTACAACTCCAGCTAGTGGCTCTGGGGTAGAGAGGCTTTTCAACTCTGCTCGCGATATATGCCACTATCGCCGGGGATCGTTAAGACCACAGACTATTCAAGATCTAATGATGTTTATGTGTACAACAAGATTTGATATCCAGTCGGAGCAGCTTGCGCTAGTGGATGAGTTTCTCTCCACCCAAGAGAGGCATACAAAGAAGGAGCAGGATGATGCTGAGCAAGAGACTAAGGAGTATGATCCTATCAGCGATGATGAGGAAGATCCTATAATAGACGCTTCCGTTGAAGTATCTATTGAGCGACCTAGTTTACGCGCGCTAGGGAAAAGAAGGGCTGTTGATGATCAGCTTACTGAGCCAGATGATGATGAGATCCCTTTACCTGATTTTGATATCCAGAGGCGTTCATCAGGGCGGATTCCAAAGAGATTGAGATATGATGAGGATTTTGTATATAATTAGTAGAGACAAAGGGTCATTAGAGGTTAAAATCTTGTTTATTACATAAATCATAAATCATCTACACAAGTGATTTCTGCAAAAATCCTCTTCAATTTTTTCAGTAGGCATCAGCTATGACTATTCCTTATAAAGAATGAAAGTAAAATACTGAAAAATACCTACAGATTCTACATAAAATATGCATATCACGGGGTTTTCTATGTTTGTCCTGTTTACAGGACCGCAGGACCGCACCGGACCGCATTGGTGCGGTCCTTAAAAAGTTGGGACCGTGCCGGTCCTTGAAAAGTTAGGACCGGGCCCTGCATAGTGCGGTCCGGTCCGCGGTCTGGTCCGGTCCCTTGCGGTCCTTGCCGAGGTCTAGGTCTACCGTTCGTGGGGTACCAACACAGCCATCACTGTCCCCGGACAATGCAGAATCTAAGGTAGGAAACGGAACCACAGTTCATTATATATATATATATAAAATAAAGTGAGAAGCAGCAGCAATAATAATCCCCTTCTCCACTCCCTTAGCGCGCCGTGCGCATAAGTAGGTCCTAAGTAGAGATCCGTCTAGACCTTGACACAGCCCGCCCATGGGCCTAAGGAGGCCGCCCGTAGCCCGCCCGTCCAAGCCCGTCGGGCGGGCACGTACATACCAGGCCCGCCCATGGTGCCCGCATAGGGCGGCCCTGGGCGGGCCCGCTTTCGCCCATCTTGTGCACAATTGTCCCGATTAGGATGTATACTCTGATGATTCAGCTGAAAAATAACCTGTTATTAACACATGTTCCAGTTCTGTATTGTCTGACTAGAGATATTTACCTACTTCCTTAATGAAATAAAAGAAATTTAGGCTGTATTTAGAATTGACATTGGTGTATGAATATGAATACACCACAAATTTAAACCTATACGATTGTTATGGTGGGTGATTTGATGAAGTAGTGTAAATGCTTGACTTCATCCTGAATATATATATTCGTATAGCATACTCTTGGGCTGTCACATATAAGTGTCTGTTGCAACAAATTCTTTCAAGCTACTCTTAATTACGTGTCAAGGGCTAATAATGATTTAGATTAGACAAAGTAAGTTCACGCTTTTAATTCATTTCATATTCTAACCATGGCATAGAGGCCCGGCCCCTCTGGATGTTGGAATGAATCCTAGGGGGATGCCTTCCTGCCTAGTTTTCTAACATAAACGGGCCGGACCGGGCGGGACTAGGCATTGACATAGGTCGCCCATGGGCCTAGACCCAGGACCTGGGCCCGGGCCCATAGATGCCCATGGGCCTAAGGTCAGGACCTATGCCCGCCCATGGGCCGGGCCGGGTCGCCCACGGGTCGCCCGTGGACACCTAATTCTGCCTTATTTGGCCTAATTTGGCCTGATTTTTCGACATAATATGCTGACTAATTTCTGTTATTTACGTCTGTTTTAGTTAGAACAAGTAATATTACTAGTTTTTAACCTACCTACTAGGTAATTATAAGAAATAAATTTGTTTATATATATTTAATGGTCGATTTTATCGGTCGTATTAATATTTTAAACTAGTAAGGGTAAAGATAAAAAAGTGGTAGTAAAAATTATAGTTAGTGCTTAAAGATATATATTTATTATATGTGGTTGCACCACCACTTTTCTTAAGATTACCCTCACTAAAATTTTAATTTTAAAATCACTTAATTATCACTTTATTTTCTTATATCTATGGAGTAATATCTTAAATTATTTAATATTTCACTTAATAAATTAAAAATTCCCTCGTTCTATCTGATTTAATTAGCTTTTCAAAAATTAGTCAGTAATTTTACTCTTTGAATACCAAAAATTACTACATAAGATGCATTAATTATGCCTCTCTGTATCATGGGCATCTTGGCGGCCCATGGGCATGACCCATGGGCGGGCAGGGGTAGGTGGGCCCGCCTATGGGCCTAAAGGTCGGGACCTAGGACCTGCCTATGGGCGGGCCGGGCATGCCCATGACGGGCATGCCCATGGGCATGTCAATGTCTAGGCGGGACTAGGCAGCCCAGGGCACCGCCCAGGGCGGCCCGTTTATCTTACCCAATCATACCTCTTATATTCTAAAGCGGTGGATTCTTTTCTGATAGATCACTCTATTAACCACAACACTCTTGTAGATTGCCCCTTACGTAGTGTACTTTTAGTATTACGAAAAGAGAGCATAGTAAGTCTTCTGATTTCTTCCTCACCCTTAAGCTTTGGTACATAAGGCTACCAGCTCTGCTTCATTATGTCGCAGCAGTCAAATTATTACAGCTCGTCTGTATATGAGGACAGTACAGCTTTACTTACTCCTATTCCTACATTGACAGACACGCTTTCGACTTCATTTGCCGACTCAGATAGTCTAGCACCATTTACATCCGAGCACTTTTTAAGCCAAGCATCCCTTACATCTGCGCTCGATCTCGATTTCTCTCAACTTCTCTCGGTTCCCCCAATCCTCACCCGCGTTAAACCTGATCGCCGATCCGAATTTGTCCTTTTCGATACTATGAGTAAAGAAGTCTTTGTTCACTAGTGGCTACAAACAACCTTTGGAAAGAGACCTGAAGGGAAAGGATTTGTCTGGGATCGAGCTGGACATTTATCTGAAGTATGGAAACACTTCGATCAGCTTGCTTCAACTTCCGATGGCCTTCCAAAAGTTAGATGCCAGCGATGTCATAAGATACTTGAGCATCCAGGGCATACCAAGCAAGGAACAAACTCTATGGGTCGGCATTGGAGAGGAGAAAAGTGTCGTCGGGCTGGAACACAGGCTCAACAACCTAATATTCGCCGGCTTTTACAAGACGAGGTAAGTAATACTCCACTAATAAAAGACTTTACTAATTATTTAATAGGCTAGTCATAACGGTCTAATAACCCAACCACCTAGCAAAGAAGAGTGGGAGGACGAACTCACAACCACAATCGCTATTCTCCGGCTTCCATTTCAGGTTGTTGAGCACCCACAATTCCGGAAGTTTATCCGGATATCTCACTCAGTTTCGACTCTACCAGAGTTCCCTATAGGCCGAACACTCCAGCGAAGGCTCCGTGCCCGTACAAAAGAGAAGCAACAACGAGTACTCGAAGCCTTACCACCAAACACGAAGATTTCAATTGCTCTTGACTACTGGACATCACTATATGGACAGGCATTTATGGCTGTCACTGGCTACTTTATTGACCTAGATTGGAACTATCACGAGATTCTTCTTGGTTTTGAGCCACTCCATGGAACACATTCTGGTGTTAACTTGAGCGCCGTGCTTCTAGGTTTACTTCAACAATATAGTATTGCCGATCGGATCCTGGCGATAACCACCGACAATGCATCTAACAACACTACTCTGGTTTCAAGTATCCAGGATTCAGTACAATCACTCGACCTTCAGGATGATACAACAATCATTCGAGTTCCATGTATCGCTCATGTGATCTAATTGAGCTTAAAGCAGCTCCTCGGCCAGATGAAAGCCAATCCAAGAAACGAAACTACTGAGAAGTGGTCAGAAGCTCGGTCGCAATCAGTTTCAAAGAACGCACGACAAAACAAACGGGAGATTGTGGACACTCTTAATAAGGTAGGGCCTTTCTTCTATCATAAGGGCTTTTTATTAACAATAATATAGGTTCGAAACCTCGCTATCTATATCAACGCAAGCCCACAGCGCCGTGAAGCATTTTCTAGTCTCCAGACTTCAACACCAAAGCTCGTTCCTATCCAAGATGTGAAGACTCGCTGGAATTCAACATTCCTCATGCTCCGTCGAGCTAAACGACTACAAGCTACATTCAATGAATTTTGCTCGCAGTTCTAGTTAAGAGACCTCACTCTTAGTGGAGATGAATAGCGGCAGATTGAATATCTTCTCTGGATCACTCAGCCATTTTTCAAGTTCACCACTGCCCTCTGCAAAAGCAAAGATACCACAATCCATATTGTCTTTGAGATCTATAACAACCTTTTCGAACACCTTGAAACATCAACCCGCCAGCTTCAAAGAAAGAAAGTTCCTTGGAAGCAAGGTATGCTCAAAGCACTTAGTGCTGCGAGAGATAAGCTTGCAGAGTACTATGCTAGAACAGACGAAGTTCATGGTGATCTCTTTGCGATTGGTACAATCCTTGCACTAGAGCATAAGCTTCAGTTCTTTAATAGTAAAGACTGGGAATCTGATGCTGCTGACATAGACTGGCGACAAAGATACCGTGAAAGCTTGCAAGATACCTTTGAGTCGTACAAGCGACGTCTTACGAACACACAGACATCATCCTAAGCTCAGTTATCTACGCAATCTACAGAGATAGATGAGCTCCAGGTTATGCTTAAAGGAGCAAAACATTGCCAGCGATTGAGCCAACGTGATGAGACTGCACAGTACCTTGAGAGTGGTAGGTCAAAACCTATACTATTAATTGATTATTTATTAACTCTTCTACTAGATACTATTGAGATTTCTCCACGGATGTTCTGGAAGGAAAATCAATACAAATATCCAATTCTTTCTGCAGCAGCGCGTGATATCCTCTCTATCCCTGCGACCAATGCAGGTGTAGAGCGACTCTTTAACTCTGCGCGTGATGTCTGTCACTACCGTCGGGGCTCACTGAACGACACGACTATCCAGGATCTAATGATGTCGATGTGCGCGTCAAAATTCGATATCGAGGAGAAGCAGCTTACATTAATAGATGAGTTTCTATCAGATGAGGAAAAAGAGCAGGCTCGTGAGGAAAGGGACACCCCATTACTTGAAGATCTGGATCCAATTAGTGACGACGAGGAGGATGATTTAGTTGTCTCCCAGGTACAGCCTATGACCCAGGAACTTTCAGAGCGTGCCGTAGGGAAAAGACGCCAGACTATAGCATCTAATATTGAGGATGAGGGTCGGAAAGCTACTCCATCTGATGATGAGGCTGAACATCCTTTGCCTAATACCCAGCGCGTTTCAGGGAGAAATCGGAAGCGTGTAAGACGTGAGGATGAAGATTTTGTTCATTATTAGTATATCATTAATACTTTAAATTGATCATATCGCGTTTACTAAAACCTATATTCTACTCCATGTTAATCTATACACCAAACAAAAACCAGGTGGTGTAAGCTAGATACCGAAAAATACAGAAGAAAACTGCATATTTAATGCATTTCCCAAGACTCTCTATGTTTGCACTGTTTGACCGCCCGCCGGGCAGGGGAAACCCGCCCAATCCCCGCCAATGGGCGGGCTCGGGCTCAGCCCATTTAGGGCGGCCCAGGGCTGTGTCAAGGTCTAATGGCACTTTTCAGTACTACACTAGTCACTAATCTCAGTTCTGACATAGCTATCCCGGCTATCCCAAAGAGGTCTACCGGCAAATCGGCCTTGTGGCTGACGGATCCGAGAATGATATTACAATTACAATTACAATTCGACGGGGGTGACCAGATGCCATTACAACTCCCCCAGCAAACCATTTTACCTTCTCCACATGCGAAGTACCTTGGCGTGTGGCTCGACAAACACCTCGATTTCACAACGCACCGCAGCAAGGTCATCGCCAAAGCCAATAGCAGTCTGGAGGCATTTAGGGGGGATTATAGGTTCCACGTGGGGTACATCGCTAATGGCGATGCGGAAGATCTACCAAGCGGTGGTCATACCGCAGCTCTTCTGAGGCCTAACCGCCTGGTACAGCCCAGCGAGTGGGAATGTTTCAGCCACAGAGCAGTCGAGAGCGATACGGAGTTTCACAAGAATCCAGAAACGCGCGGCGCTAATGGTCAGCGGCGCCTTCAAAAGCACCTCCGCGGCAGCCCTCGACACCGACTTATTCCTGACGCCAATCAACCTCTTAATGCACCAAGTCATCGAAGAAACTGCCATCCGAATCCAAACAGAGGCGCCCTGGGCCCGCCCCGGGGGCCTCAATGCCAAACGAAAGCCAAAGGAAATCCGACTGGGGGGAATGTCACCGCTCGAGGCGATGAAATGGAGAAAACAAGGCCCGTTAACGCCGCTGAAGAAGCGGGAAACGGCCCAGTGGGAGACCAAGAGGGCCTTTGTGCTAGCCCCATAGGAACAACGACTGCATTGTGTCATTGAGGACGCGGAGGCAGCTCGCAGCATCCACGACGAGATCGAATTCCAAGCCGCCCTCGCAGATGGGGCAATATGACGCGTATTCACCGACGGGAGTGGATACGCAGGATTGGTGGGTGCTGCGGCTATTGATTTGACAGGCGCGGTGCATCAGCGTCACCTTGGAACGGACCGACAGTCTGGCGTGTACGCGGCGGAGCTCTCAGGGATGGAGATGGCCCTGGAACCGCTCGCAATCCAGGCAGCCCAAACAGCCGAGGACAAAGTCAGAGAACTGGTGATCTTCTCTGATAGCCAGGCCGCAATTCAAGCGGTGCGAAACCCAAAGCGACCGTCCGGCCAATACGTGCTCGGACGCATTTATGACCACGTACGAGCCATCCGGTCGCGGCAAACACCCACAACGATCACCCTCCGGTGGATCCCAGCCCATGTGGATGTTACTGGTAATTGAGGCAGCAGATGAGCATGCAAAGACTGCTGCGTTGTGGGGGGCTGGGAGCACAATTGGAGGTGCGGGAGCGGATGCGGAGAAACATATAATCCGACTCGCCTCGGCCGCGAAACGGAATGTCTGCAAGTGCATCCGTGGTAGATGGGCAAAGCAGTGGGAGAGGGAGACAACAGCGCGGTCGACTAGGCAACTGGTCAAGGCGCAAAATGGAAGACACTGGAACTATATAGTGGGTTATTCAAGCCATACGCATCGATGCTCATTCAAATGAGGTCAATTCGTATTGGTTTGAGTCATTTCTTGTACAAAATCAAGGAAAGGGAATCAGATCGCTGTAGCTATAACCAGGGGTCTCAAACACCGAGACACATCCTGCTCCAGTGTCCGCTATACAACGATCTACGACGAACCATGCTAGACAAGATCGCTCGCACCGATCTTGGCAGCACAACTGAATACGATGCAATCGTATCTCACCCGCAAGCAGCCCGCTACGCTGCTGCAATGATGCACCAAACTGGTCTCCTGTGGGCCAGTTCCGACACGTTGAGCCGGAGCTAGACCCAGATGATGACCACGAACTGATCGGCCTTGCGGCCATGGAGTAGGTTGCGAAGACGCTGCGCATCCACCACCGAATACGAAAAGACCGGGCCTCCGAGAAAGGTCTGGATACTCACCATCCTACGATTTACTACGCCACCACTATTAATTGAGAACGGAGCAGACGGAATATGGGGGTTGGGGAGGTAGATGCGAGATACTGGGGAACGTGGATGCAGATGGAAGATACTGAGATTTGTGGGATTTGCGGGATTTGCGGGATTGAGGGCGTTGGATTCATCTATTTACATTCCTTACTGTACTGGCCCATCAGAGGCCAGCTTTCCTTTGTATGGGGTCTCGTTCTGCGGACACGGCGTTCAGGATACCAAGTTCTGCTTCGGTTTGGACGAAGCGCCTGAATAGCCTTGACGCAACTAGTTAGGCTCCATCAGGTTAATTGAACTTTGATTGATTGATTCATTGATGGTCCTGGCCCACTAGAAAGTCGCTCGGGTCGCAGTTAGTTTGCCGCCGTGCACCGACTACCGGCCCGTCGGCCCGACCTGAACCTGCAGGAATTCGGTAGCCTCCAGACAGCCACCGAGCGCTACGACTATAGCACACGGATGGCTCTTGGGTCCAGACCGAGTACACAACAAGAACCGAAGTAGACAGTGTGGCCTTGGATCGTCAAGTTGCCATCTCTCTGTCCGATCCAACATCGAGCTCCGGGGTCTCCAGGGTGGTAGCGGTTCCGGGTGGATTATACCCAATCCTCTAGCCTCTCCAGGCTCATATTCTTCAACGTCTTCGGGGGAACCGGACGACGATCCGACGTTGTCCCTTCGTCTCAAGGAACGTAGAAAGACTCTCCGTACGGGGTACATGCCATTTGACAGGCTTAACTAGCATCAGCGCAGTAAGCAGGCAGCACCACAGTTGTTCCTAGTTATTTAAGGCTTCTCTAAATTTTAAATATGCTTAGGGAAAGCAATCAAAAGACAATGGCGCATCTGCACTGAGCCATGCGTTGATGCTGAAAGGCTTATTATATTGATCTTTGCTTCACTGCGAATCTTGCGACGGGCACCTTCCATAACACCCAAGTTCAAATATCAAAGACATCCGTCGGATACCTAGACATAAACCTTTGCAGCATTGAAACTCGAATTTACGGAGGTTCCTCACTTTGAAACACCCGGCTTGTTTTCTGATGTGTCAAGCTCTCCTCTGCGTTGCGCCTCAAGGGCATCCGAATCTTGCGTTGGATCAAGTTTGTTCAAAACCTTGCTAGAATGCGCCTTTGGTTTCTCAGGTGCAGAAGCGGAAGCCGCGGGACCAGGGATCCCAGGCTGTCGAGAAGATTTGCCAGCATCGCCCCAGCTTTTCTTCGGATCATCCCGCTGCTTATCTGGGATAGCGGATGGCAGGGCTTCGGACATTTTGATTGTAGTATGTCGGAAAGGAAACAAGGTCGAGGTTTGACTTTTTTCTCCGTATGGAGCAAGCAGACTCGAAAGGTCGGTATGGTTATTCCAAATTGTGTTGACCTAGGGTTTCGCACACGCAACGGTACAGTGACCGGTATATATGCTAATTTATTTTAATCTGACGGTCTAATGACGTCAAGGTACATCCAGCCTTTTACAAGGTGCTTCATAATGACGCCTAGTGCAATCTACGACATATCTGCACAATCTATGACATACTTATTATGCCTAGGACATTTCCGGCAATTATATCTGTTGGAAATGGAGCCCTCATCCTAAGGCGCCAACATCGGTCGGCATCTCTCTGCCCCGATGGCTGCTGATTGGTCAGCCAGGCCCATGAGGCTATTGAATTGGGCGCCCGTATATGCAGGATTCTCATCTATATCACCTTCTTTGCTTGTTCCAGAGGATGTTCTTTCATGGACCACCGAGCAGCGGTGTAGGAGAACATGTTTGTATGTATTTCCCTTAGAAAACAGTTCTCAGGAATAGGATATAAATATCCCCCTGAGAACGAGCAGAAAATATTATCAAAATTTACCATCAATTACCGGTCCATCTTCTTTTCATCTGATCATCTACCCCTTTCTTTCTCAACATATTTTATTTAATATTACTAAATCTAGTAAATCCGTTTTTTTATTAGTATTATAGATATATACACCTACTTAAAATATAAATATCTCATTAAATACAAAAATTACCTTGATAAATAGGCTATTTACATATCCAAAACATAGAATTACAAATCACGTGACCTACGGTATATTAATATTTAAAAGTGTACATACCTTATAAATTCAGTTATATAAAAACTTATATAAAGTGAAATTCACTTCGTTAGTTAGAATAGCCTAGTGGTTATCCTTAGAGTTAAATTTTTAGTGGTATAAGTTCGATTCTCTTAGCGATCTTTCTTTTTATTAGTAAAATTACCACCATAAAACATCACTTTTTTTGCATAAGCTATGTTTGCAATGTTTGTAGCCCACTTAGGCCCATTGGGCCCCCAATGGGCTATCTATTCCGGCCCATAGCCCATCGATGGGCCCAAGAACCAGGCTCAAGGCCCAACCCATGGGCCCAGTGGGCTTTGGCGCAGTCTAGTCATGGGGCATGGGAAAAAGACGCATGAAGTCATCCACTCCTAAAGAGACAAAATGCTACTTCAGACCGAGCATGATGAGTTACCAATAATGAACGAGCAGCAATTGCTGTGCCGTAAGTATAGTAGTCAGCCATCTTCGTACGGATTCCGTTTAGAGTAAGAGGTCAACGTGGTGGCCCCGCTTCCAACTTGTAATTGATGACTTTCCTTAACGACACTAGATTAAACCTTTTTTTTGTCACTTGTGATGCTATCTCCTCCCCCGATGGATGCCTGTTTGTGGAATGAATCGAGCGGGGCCAGGCGGAACCATAGCAAGGGAAAAAGCTTGGTAGTCGGTAGCCGTCAACGCCACCAAGACAGGCCCCACTGCGACGCTAAAGTGATTGGCCATCTACAAAGGTAGGCGAGGGCTCCAGTACCGACGGATCTGAAACTTGTTATCATCCCTAATATAAGGTTCTACTATACAGTACCATTGACATAACGCGCCTCTCAGAAGCCACTCATTCCTACTCGTCCTTTCTATGTACACGTCGCCCAGTTATCTCTCAGGCATTCGCGCCTCGGGTGCCACCACCTCTCACGAAGAATTAGCTAGGCCGGGCAAAACCTACCAAGGCCAGTTGGAACAAGTAATGATGTTCCTGTCTTTGTAGGTTTTATGATCCGAGGTAACGAAATCTTCTTTACCTGCTTTCTTCCGATCCCACTACTCAACTCGATAGAAAATTGAATTAAATTGATCCAGCAAGGACACTATATGCGTAGGTATTAAACCTACTATGGTATGAATTCTTGTTTTTCTGCCTCACTTCACCACCACCTAGAAGACCTTGCGGGTATTTCGTTCGCATCTCGCCACTTTCCCGTCCAATTTCCTCTCCTTGAGCAGGACCCAAGACCGGACTGCCCGTTTACAGGTATCTGGAACAACACGAAACTGGCCAACTTTCAGTGGTAAGTCAGAAGCAATTCCGGAAGAGTATTCTAAGACCCTCCTCAAGCGTCCACAATCCTCAATATTTTAGCACATAGAACAAATTCTCATTTGTTGACCAGAACCAACAGAAGCCGGATTGATCCTATCTCTTCTCTCATATCGCAAAATTATATCACGCTTGCTATAAGTCTTCCATTTCTCGCCGCCAGGAATAGGATTGTCCGGCGAGACAATTGGGCTACGCAAGAGCCCGGGGTAGTTTTGGTCTCTTGTATTGTTTCCTAGTCGGGTGTGGGATTCTATTGATTATAATCCAGAGGGCATTGAAGCAGAGACGCGAACAGTGAGCACAATGGGAGGTGACGGAGATCAGAGATGATAAATCGCGTTGATTGAACCCCAGTGCAAATGCCTATACTTATTCGCGTTTCATACCGCCTCTTGCCATTTGAAATGCCATTGCCGACCCATTGTACGTTTGTGACCTTCGTGTTCAAAGATATTCCCTTCTCTGCCTCTCGCTACGAGTGCCATTAGGCAGTAACTTGCTCTTTCAAAAAGCCTATAGGCACTAACATGGCGGTCAGATACCCATCGGGAGGAAGATCTAGATTCTTTCATTAGGCACGCGTTGGGCGGGAGCTAAGATCATTACGATGACTAAATTACTCCCGCTCCTCCGATCTTAATTCCTGTTCTCCGCCTGCGCCTAGGAGCTTTGGGGGTTGCTATGAACATTAACAGCCCCGATAGCATAGAAATCGGCTAATCAAAGCTTCGAAACAGGAAGCGAGTGCTCCGGGTACGTACGTATGATATGTTCGAGTAAAGGCTTCTGCGGAAAAGGGGACGTAATCATGACGTTACAACTAGCCGTATTGTGGGAACTATTCTGTAACTTTGGGTCACTTTGTGGTCACTCGGTTAATCGATTAGGTGACGCAAGTGTAAGACAGACATTGGTCGCCTTTGGTACGAAGCTGTGTACCGCACAAGGAACCCAAAAACCATAGCGAAAACCGAATGGAAACCGGATTTCTTAATCAGCACGCTTGCTTGCTCGGTTTTTACTTTGATATACCTTCCTTTAAGTCTCTTTCATTGACTGCTTCTCAATTCTCTTCTTTTTAATCCAAGTAATCTGGCTGCCCCCGCCTCATCATCAAGGAAAGTCCATCCCGTCAGGCTTAACTGAGTAAGTTCACCCAATCGACGCTACAACGCAAGAGTATTCGCGATTTGGTTTAGCGTAAAACGACCGAAGCATCTGATCTTGAATCCTAGTTGACATCAATCAAAACATCAATCAAGTGGTCATTGAGGAAAACTGGGTCGGCTGTCCTGCTGTCGACCAGGCAGCATCACAGGTTACTCTAAAGTCCAAACGCAGCCTTTTTATCTGGGATTTACATTATCCTACTCCCGCGTTTACCATCCCATCTTCTGGTGGCCTAGCAGTTATGGTACCTCGTCAATTGAACCCTACCACAGAAGTCTCCCACTCATCGGGTATCTGGCGTAAAAGGGTCCGCAAGGCTTGCGATCGATGCCGACTCAAAAAGACCAAGGTACACGCTCTGTGAATGTTAGACCTTGTGCTTTTAATCCTGTTGACCTTCTTCTTAGTGCGACGGCACCAAACCTTGCTCGCGTTGTCAAATAGACAATTCTATCTGCCTCTCAGGTGAGGGAAGAAGTGTCCCTAATAAAGTACATCCGAAGGGGTGAGTTTCTACTTAGTCTTTTTGCATATTCCATAATCGCAATACTCACGACCGATAGGTACGTGGAAATTCTCGAGCGGCAACAAGTCTGGCTTGTCCGAGGACTTCGCCAGCTGTATCGACATACTATCGAAAGCGGGGTTTGGCCTGGCGATCCGTTGGAGCTCGAGACAGACGGGCACCCACTCACTTACGATTTGCTCGCACGATTAGGAGACTTAGATCAGACTAAGGGCTTTTGCTTTGAGGAAGATACTCAGTCCCTGTGCAGACGTGATCCTGATGACGCCCGCGACAGCTCATCCTCCTCGCTGGACTCTTCTGTTCACCAACATAAGCCGATGGCTTCCCTAGCCGGCGAACCTATGAGCGCCGGATCGGAGGACGATATCAAACCTCAGCCAGGTAATGATGGCATGGTTTTCGCGCCGCTTTCAGTTAAGGGCGCTGTTAAATCACCCACGTCGCTAGACGTACGTCAACAGACCGGCGAACCTATGAGCGCCGGATCAGAAGATAATATCAAACCTCAGCCGGGTAACGATGGCTTGGCTTTCACGCCACTTTCAGTTAAAGGCGCTGTCAGGTCGCCCATGTCGCTAGACGTACGTCCACACCGGCAGCAACAAGGGGTCGGTGCCGACATGGACGCACTATTTCATCAGAGTGACCTTCTCATCGCGGCCGACCAAACTTCTTTCATGCTTGATGGTCTCGTTACAGCCGCATCTAGCTCTGAAACCCCTATACCGCTCATAAGTGCGCCGCCGGCCCCCCTACCCGAACCAGTGATAGACCCGGAGTCCGCCCTGAATTTTGATCTAGCCAGTTTTGGACTACCATCTGGAATTTGGAAGACGTACGCATTTTGAAATTGATGCGCGTACTTGCATTTCACGAGCCGTGCTCTGTTATCTAGTAATGTTAGAGGCTTTCATCCGCTTACTCCGCATCCCAGCAAAACTCTGAAATTGTAGCCTTAGCTGAGCGTTAGCGAGGCTATTAGGGGTTGTCGGAACGAACAGCCTATGGAGACCGGATTATTGGATAATCCGACGTAATTATTTCTTATGTAATCAGAAACCCCCATAAATTGCCAGATTCAGGGGTATAGCAATACAGAGTTCTTTTTACCGCTGATGGGCCCTTATATTACGTACTCCGACAGTTAATAAGGAGATTATGTAATGCATGGGATGTCAATACTGGAAGTTGACTGTATATATATCGCCATCACCAAAGTAATTGTCGAAAGTGGTAGTATATAAAAGAAGAGAGATAAATAAATGCTTAAGGGTCCCTATGCAGCAGGGCTGTCCTTAGGATAAATATTTGTAGAGAGAAATACTACCCTTCCGTGGAGGTAGGCTATTACTGCAGCGTAGTAACTCACCCCTCGGAGATGGATATAAACGAGAAATAATAGAGAGAATCTCCTTGGTCTGCCCTTTAGGAGAGAGAAAGGGTAGTAGGAGAGAAGTTGAGATGAAAGCTCTTAGACTTCCGCAAAGCCCAACTTGGGCCTAACGCTGGGCCCCCAGTAAAACCCAACTCGACCCAATTCAACCCAACTTTTTCATAATTCTAGTCATAAAACTGCTCAGTCATCAAGATAATATACTGTTTTTTACACCTGTCTGGTTTATACAACGTAGCACTAACCTTCTTCCCATTAAGCTCTGGAAATTTTAAGAAATAAATTTGTAATCCTAGAGAGTATAATTAGTCAATAATAAATAACAATAAACTTAGCTTAGAATCGCATTAATTAAGGAGTGATCCGTGGATCACTGGATTCCTGCCTTTAATTGATAATGTAGTTGTGGAAATATATATTTACTACATGAAGTACCTAGTGCATCTTCATAGACTAAAGAAAATCATTATGAAATTTTGGCTAAATATAGTTAATAATATATACAAAAGTTATTAGTCTTATTTATCTCATTAGATTAGCTTACTTAAAAATCAATTAAAAGAAGGTTATAGAGTAGGAAGGCCACTTGAAGATTGAAGTTTTTCTTCTTGGCGAAAATTTTTAAGGATCTTAAAGATGAGTTGGGCTAGGAATTGGGTTATTACTGGGTTAATTGGGCTATTGCTGGGTTTTCGCTGGGTTAATTGGGTTACTACTGGGTTTTAGCTGGGCTTTTTGGGTTATCTCCACATAAGATAGGGCTATCTAGCCAATTAAATCTAGCTCTACTTCTTACCGCCCTATTATAGTTGATATATCATATTTACCTGATTTATTCCCTACTGCCTAAAGATACTATTACTTAGTAGGTGTCTCTTTAACTAATTCTCCCTTACATCCTAGGTTTACCATAGAGCTAATTCATCATGTCACAAAGTCAGCACTCTAACTTCGCATCCTCTCTTTATGATGGTGAGATAGACAATCTTAGCTACCTAATGACACTAAACCCCCTAGCCACTCCATCTAGCAGTCAATACGCGCTTGACATCTCCGACCAAGACTTTCTCCGACCTCCCCGACCGGTACTCCCCTCCTTCTTTACGCGCGTTGGACCCGACCAAAGGAAGGCCTTTGTTCTCTATGAAAGAATGGCATATAATGAATGGGTAGAATGGTGGTTATAGACTGATTACGGGAGAAAGAGCAAAATCAACTAGGACTCAACCTAATATACGGAGATTTGGAGCCAATTCCACTAGGTTGCCCATAATGTAGATGGTGCACTAAAGGTAATGTGTCAACGATGTGGAGCTATCCTTGAGCATCCATATACAGTCAATCCAAAGGCACAGGGCAAGTTACAATACCATGGTACATCCACGATACAAAGACATCTCAAGATAGCAGGATGTTTAAAGGCTGGGCAAGGGAAGGGGAACGAGATCACTAAGTTTCTTAAGAAAGGGGTTTGTTCCATTTTTCCTTTATTCCTATATTCAGTAGGGTTTTCTACCAAAATCAGCTCTTAACTAACGCGTTTTATATTATAATAGGGAGACCCAATAGATAATACGCCTTTTTCGCAAGAATCATAGGACGAAGACCTCCAGTTCTTAACACTAAATCGGCTTCCACTTTATCTCATTGAACATCCATTATTCCATCGTCTAATTTCTCGGGCTTACGGCGCTCCAATACTACCAATAATACCCTCTGCCGATACAATCCGTCGCCGATTAAGTGCCATCGTTAAAGACCGGCAAGAAGGCATACTTCGGACTCTACCAATTAGCGCAAAGATATCAATTGCGCTTGATTGCTGGACGTCTCCTTTCTCGCAGTCATTTATAGCTATCACAGGCTATTTTATTAATGCTAATTGGGTTTACCGTGAGGTACTACTTAGCTTTAAGCCTCTTCATGGTTCGCATACAGGTGCGAACCTAAGCAATATGCTTCTTCAAACCCTTATAGAGCATAATATTGAAGCCCGAGTATTTAGAATTACCACGGATAATGCATCTAATAATAAGACATTAGTTGCTTCTCTCCAGCAGTCTCTTCAACAGGCCTTAGCAGATAATGCGATCATTCCTCGAATAACATGCCTTGCTCATGTCATTTAGCTTAGTCTCAACCAGCTTCTTAGCCGCATTAAGGCAAATCCGTTGAATAACTTAGCCGAGACAAAGTGGACAGAGAAGCAGTCAAGACTCGCAAAGCTTAACGCGCAGCACCAAGTGCGTGAGATATCCTATACCTTAAATAAGGTCCGGTTTCTCGCGATCTACGTGAACGCAAGTTCTCAGCGCCGGGAGACATTCTATAATCTCTAGACAACAGACGTGAAGCTAGTGCCTATCCAAGATGTGAAAACTCGCTAGAATTCAACCTTCTTAATGCTTCGCCCGGCAAAGCGTCTATATAATATCTTTGCTCCGTTCTATACGGAGTATAACTGCGAGGAGATACTACTAAATCACGAAGAGTGGCGCCAGGTTGGCTATTTTCTTTGCATCACTGAACCATTCTTTAACTATACAACTCAACTTTCAAAGACTCGTGATCTCACAGCGTATTATATATTCAAGATTTACAATAAGCTCTTTGAACACCTTAAGCAGTCAATAAAACAGCTCCGACGAGAGCGTGTTCCATAGAAGCGCCAGATGCTCCACGCGCTAGAAGCTGGTCGGTCCAAGCTTGATGAATACTACTCTCAAACAGATAGTATTCAAGGACAGCTCTACGCTATTAGCACAATGCTTACGCCTGTGAATAAGTTCAAATTCTTCCTGACAAAGGATTGGGATCAGAAATGGCACGATATATATCGCAACTCCTTCCAATAGGCACTTATTCTATACCAAGAGCAGCTATCAACGCTTGGCCAGTCCTTAGATAGAGCTCGTCCAGTAATTTAGTTAAGCTCGGAGCTTGATAAGATGTTAGATAAGAGCGTGGCGCAACCAGAGACAGTGACTAATAAAATAACCTAATATCTGAACAGTGGTACGTTTTAAATTAAGTCTTTACGATATTATACTAACTGGTTAGTAGATACTGTTTATATTGGGCCTCTTGCGTTCTAGAGAGAGCACCAATCTCGTTTTCTAGCAATTACTGCTCTTGCACGAGATACGCTCTCCTTCCTAGCAACAGGTGCAGGTGTTGAACGACTCTTTAATATTGCTCGGGATGTCTGTCATTATCGCCGAGGAAGGCTAAAGACGCAGACGGTTGAAGAGCATATAATGTTTCTTTGTCCTTCAAGGTTTGATGTGGAAGAGAAGGAAGCGAAGTATCTTGAGAAATTCTTCTCTCGTGTTGAAATATAAGCAGCAAAGGAAGAGAAAGATGAGAAGCCTAATGAGGTTCAGATAGACCTGATTAGTGATACTAAGGAGCAGGGGCAGGAGCAAGAGAATGAGGATGATGATGAGCCCCAGCTACCAGCACCTGAGAATAGCACCCAGGTACGGGCATCAGGCCGGAAGCGGAAGACTCGAGAGGATGAGGTCTTTGAATATTACTCGAAGTGATAGTATCTTGATGTATTATTATAGATTGCATATAATTGTCTTATCGGGAGTGGGCCCCCGATAAAATATCATGATATCTCTTTGTCATACTTCTCCTATTGTAAAGGAAATACTCAATATTACGGCCAAAAACCGCACAATTCATGCAACCATGAAAAGTCACGAGTCTTGGCATGTCTGTTATGTTTGTGGCCCAAGTTGGGGGCCCGGACCCAGGCTGGGCCTAAGTCTTCGGCCCAGGACCAATACTAGGCTGAAGTCCTGGGCCCGGGTTGAGTTGGGTTCTGCGGAAGTCTAAGAGCTCTTATTTTATTCAGTCTGGTTTCTGAGCCATATTTATAGACAAAGATTGTGTTCGGCCGAAATAATTCGGTCGAGATAATCATTCCTTTCGGTCGAGAAAAGAGGGGTAAAGTGAGGGGTAGGCCTACTAACCATGGTTGGGTAGGCTGATGTAAAGAGAGAGCATGGTAAAGGCTGAAGTCAGAGATAAGTGAGAGTAAAGTGAGAGATAATTGGAAGGTCAGATAAAGGCGGTGAGAGATGGCAGAATAGGAACTTCAACGGGAACTTCCATCAATGGGAACTTCCATGTTGAATTGGAAGCTCTGGAAATCTGCATTTATAAATGCAGACACCTAAAATCCTGACAAGTCGCGACTAGGGTTGGACGCTGTAGCAAAAGAAACTATAGATTACCTAAAATACTACGTGTTGATTGGGTATACACGTATGGTAGTGCGGTTATCTATGGTTATCTTACCATTAACCGCTAAAGACCACCAAAACCCACAAGGTAACCACACAAAAACCGCAAATAACCGCAAAGTAACCGCAAAGTAACCGCTGAAGACCATGCAATCATTTATTCAGATAGCGAATTCTTTATTATTTTACATAGGAACTTGAT